CCTTGCTGTATGGTCTATTTGTCCCAACCATTGTTTCATGCTCATTTGTCAAAGACCCTTGCTTTAAGTTGGGTAGACACCTACTTCAAATCCAATCGAGAACCCTGATTTACTTCATCACCCTTGATCAGAATTAAGAAGGAAACTGCAAACTGAAAAAGCCTACCGCCTACCGCCACAATATATAATGTGAAAAAATAGCGAAAAAACAACATATATGGATCTACGTAAAAGAGCCAAACATTGTCTTTGATTAATCCTTGAACGAAATTAAGTAACGCGTGTTTTAGAAAGTATCCCGTTTTACATTTTAGTTATCAAAGCAAAAGCTATCATAGGCAAATTATTCCTCAAAATTTTAAGGTTAAGTGTAGAGTGGACCACTCACCATATAAACAACCTACACGTCAAGAATTAAGATTCGTAAATGAAGGTGAATGCGACAGCTAATCAACGATTTAGCATCGAGGACGTTGATTTTTCAAACTAAGCCTCATCCACGACACTTCAACAGATATTTAACAATTGTACGCCAAGTAGTAGTCAGGCGTATATAGTTTAGCGCAATGCTTGATGGGATTAATTTAAAACTCGCCCCTGGTTTAACAGCTGAATTGCCCTCTAACTTATCATTTTTTTTCAAATAACTGTGAACTCTGTGAGTTAAAATTCCTTTGAGCCATCATACCGTCAGACCTCTCTTTTTCTTGATTGCAGTTTATCAAATGACTGGCCACGTGTTTAAAAAGAAGTGAATTACAATAGAATAAGCTTTATGAAAAGTTAAAAGGCTATCTACATCCATTTGGTAGCAATGAATGTGTAAGAGTGGTCAAATTAACAATAACTATGAGGGTGGATTCCGGGAATTTGATGAGAAACCACCTCATAAGAAAGAAAGCTTCTAGTGTTGATAGTTTGACTCTGAAATTGATAGTTACTTCTAAGCCGCGACACAAATGATCAAAGGTTCTTTTAAGAATAACCGCGACGAGCAACCACATAGCCAAGATGAACAAATCCACCTCTTCTGATCTTTTGCAACAGTTATTTTAGAATTGTCCTGTTAGATTCGTTGACATACAAATACAACTATGATCAAACAGGACAGATGATCACATTACAACAATTCCCTTCCAATTTTTTCT